GCCCAACTGCATATTATCTGTGAATGGTCGAAGTTTGAAATACGTCAGATTCCATGTGTTTTTCCACAGTTGCGTCATGTCGAACAACCGAATGAGGCTGTCAAGTAAAATCCAGGTGTAGGCTGATTGAAGGTAATCACTTGAGTTGCAATTTGGCAGCTGAATTATGCCAATGTTTCAATGTTGCTTGAACACATTACTTGAAAGTGGTCTTATTTTAGACGGCTTTATAGGATGATGTTTCATAATCGTTCTAGAGTGAATCAATATCAGGATGTCTGTTAGTGATACGATGTACTGAGCAGTCCTAAAGGAAAAACGCCTGAAATGCGTTCAATTTAGCCGTGTTGTCGGACGATATACTAAAAACGGTCATAGCCTGGAAATATCGTGGAATATCGATGAAATTCTTGAATTACGTGAGGTGTCAGAGAATCCATGCTTATTCCTAATCAACGTCTTTAATTTGTTCAATGCCGGTAGAGAAGAACACTTCCTATGAGTTTGGGTGTGACTCTTCGGTGTGCTGACGCGTACAATGGCCAAAAAATTCAGAGCGTTTCCGAACTGACCAAGGAGAGGAAGTGGTTGTCACAGGATGGAGTGATTGTCATAGGATGGAGAATTCCATCCTGGAGAAAATTTGAGGGTGTTATGGGAATGCCGAAAACTTGGCAAGTCATGATTAACTGATTTATCTTCACATAATTTTTCCGTAATCGTTGCATAATGTTTTCAAAATTGGTTTTCAATCGATCACGAAGAAGGGATTCTTTTGATGCCGCCGACAAATCCTTTGCAAGAAACTTCGTGGTCAATGGATTTATTTCTTGATTTTATCCTGATTCGTCGCTGAGATATAATATATTGTTGGAGGGGGGAAAGGACTGTGGTCACGCAGATCATTGCATTGACAATGGCGTCTGTCGTATGGCCAAGGGGATCGCACGAAACCGAAGTGAATGGGAATAATTGATGCTTAAAAGCCAAAGTGAACAATATGAGAAATTCACACGTCGAATAACAAAAGACATTGGAATAAACCAATAAAACCATACAAATCTGTGAGCATCTTACCAAGAAACTGCGAGTAATATCTATAAATAGTCCTTATCAACGACATCAAATCAGTTGATGATCCGACCAATCGCTATAACCGAACGAGTAACAAAAGCTACAAAGTCTGCTGATAGACAGAATGCGACTAAAATGAAAATTTGCATATTTACGTTTGCCTCTTCTGGCACTGATTGCATTCAGATTTCTGAATTTTTGAGTTCGCTTCAAAATTCAAAAACAAACGACAGCTAAACTGATATCGAATAGAATTTCAAAAATAATTTCGAACAGATCTCATTCTCTCCAACAACACTACTTACATACTGTTCAAAAAATTTTTAACGCTCCATTTTGTCCGGATCTGAATTTCCAAAAAGTAAGCGGAAGAAATGTTTACTACGAAACGCAACACATTCACGAAGATGTTTTCATAGTATCATTCAGAAATGTCACTGAATAAGTGCTTTGCTCTGTTCGTATCAAAACAAACGTGGATACTTCCCTACGTCTGAGGAATCCTGCACTTTTCAAATGACAGAATACTAGCACACCCTCAAGATACATGATGGAAGGACGAATATTCTGCAAAATATCAATAATTAATAGTTTATACACAAAATGTTCATAAGTATATTCCCGTCAAATGTTATTCGTTCAATTCCAAATGAATTCATTACCATCGGAAAAGCGAATTTAACTAGTAAATTATAGTTTCTATGTTAGGAGTGAGGGTCCCTGATGTATTGTGGCTGTATTTGCAAATGGCTTAGGACAGAGTACCCTGATGAACCCACTTAATTGTTCAGTGGTAAGTGCCTGAATGAACAAATAAGTAGTGGTAACTGTGGTAACAGTCATCTACTTATAACTACATTCTCAACAATAGTTATTGCGATATGAGATAATCATGTATCAGGAATACGGTTGCTTTGTTGTTGGATTATCGAAATGGAGATTCGGTAGAATAGCTTTGCATAGAATGTGTACTCATACGGAAACTTGACTGAATCAAATACGCCTTAC